CTTTCCTTCCTTCCAAACCTTCTGCAGTAGTGGTGTGAGCATGTACATTGTTGTCTCTGCTTCTGCTCTCAGTGCTTCTGGTGGGATTCCATCTGGTCCTGCTGCTTTCCCGGGTTTCAGCAGTTTTATGGCATTCAGGACTTCACTTCTGCTTTTGTCGGAGGGCTTGTGTTCAGTGGCTGGCTGCTGGTGATATTTCTGTACGAGCTGCAGGTGGTGGTGGTGTTGGTGGTCGACTCATGAGTTTTTTGAAGTGGTCAGCCCATCGTTTCGTTTGTTTCTCCTCTTTGGTGGCAACTAGGTTTCCTTCATTATCTTTCATTGGTTTCATCTGTGCTTTGTTGATCTCTTCCCAGACAATAAGTAACCTGGTTATTTGATATAGTGTTGTCAGGTCTCTGTCTCTGTCTCTCCTGCGAGCAGTCTGTTCTGCTTCACTTGCAAGTGTGTCGTAGAAGCGTCTTTTGTCTTGCGTGCACTCTTCTTCACTTCTTTATCCAGTGTAGTGTTTTATACCTTGTACTCAGTTCTTCTTTTCCTTGTGCGTCCTTGTACTGGTTCATCTTCTGCTTCACAATCTTCCTCCCCTGCTCCATCAGCTTCCATTTGTCCGTCGAGATGCATTCCGTGTCTTGCCTTTTCTCCTTCCTTCCTCATATGGTTATCCAGGTTTCCTTCCACATCGATTTCAAAGAGTTCCAGTGTTCTTCCACGCCAGATCCTTCAGGGATGTTGCTCATTATCTCCCATTTTGTCCTGATGACTGACCACGTGAAGATGTCCTTTGTAGTTTTGTCCATCAGTTCAGTGAAGGCTTTCAACTTGATTTTGGAGGTAGGTTGCTCGCACCAGATAATGAGTGATGTGAACCACCTACGTCTGCTCCCCTTCTTGATCTGATCTTGTGTCGAGTAGGCCACATCTCCACTTTCTTCTGATTGAAATGAAGTCATTCTGTTTTTCTAGTGTGTCCATGTGGTGAAATCAAATCCATGTCACTGCCTTGTGAAAATCCTTGTGTTTGTACACACTGGCTCGCGTCCAACCATCAAATCACTTAATGTGTAGAAGTCTGTAAACAATTCTCCATTCTCGTTCATCTTACTGAGTGCTTCTCGACCGATGATGAATTCTCTTCCTGTGTTGTCTGCTCCCAGTTTGGCATTCATGTCACCCCACCCATTAGAATTTCGATGTCGCCATCTGTGGTGGGGTATTTTTTATTACTGATTGCAGTTGTCTGTAGAATTCCTCCTTCTTCTCTTGATTCGCATTATTTGTAGGTGTGTAGCGTAGCATTGAATGACTGTGACTTTCCTTCCTTTTGAGTTGATTCTTGCTGTAATGATGGTGATCCTGGAGGAGGAGATTTGTTCGCATTTTATTAGAGAGAGAGCCTTCGATGCTATTCAAGGGGACATTGTGATAGCAAATGGAGAACTCAGTGTGCTCGTGGTTGCCGTCTGGGTGCGAATATCGGAGTAGATTATTGACTCTGCAGTTGACAGTTTTGAGAGTCCACTTGCATTCCATCTGCAGATTCCTGTCAGATTGTTAGCACTTCATACCATACCTGCTCATCTCTTTTGCAATGTGTGCAGCTTTGCTAGCTAGTTTCATACATGGTGCAGACATTCCATTTCCGCATGTTTACTTTCGCCTTGATTGAGAGAAGAGGAGACACATGAGCCAACTGGCTTCCCGAAGTCTTTCATCAACCGGTGTCATTTCATCTATCCGATTCCTGGGAGGAATGAGTTTGATTTTATTTTTTGTAATTTCTTTGTGCTTAGAACTATCTAAGCGATTGGATTGGTTTTACCTTTTAGGGTTACTAGCCGTAAGCCCAACCTTCCCTCTTTATCCCTGCTTAGGACTGGCTAGTAACTAGTGAAATAGTTCACCAGGCGATGTTGGCAGATGCCACTTATTTTTTTTAAATTATTCTGACAGCTCTCCAGAATCCCATACTCCACCGCGTAAGTTCAATTGCAGAGCTTTCACAAGCGTTCTGTCCTAATCATTAGCCTAGATAGTTGCCGATTGCTACTCAGCACTGATGCCTTCCGCACCTCTCCCGTTTTCCTCGTCTACCACTCCTCGTGTTTGACACGAAGACACTTGCCAACTTACTTTTAAGTTGTTTCCACTATTTCTTGCAGTCACATATTGCTATAACGAGTCTGCTCGCATCAATCAGTTCGGATAACCTCGCCGAAATCCAATAACGCTTCGTAACCTTCCGGTGTAGGTTATCAACCGTCTTTGCCGCTATTTCTGCAGCACATTTAATACCACGCCAGGTTTCCTCATGATGAGCTTGTTGTCACCTTCAGACAGACGCAAAGATAACTCACCTCTGAAAACCTATGATCGATGCACTCTCGTCTGCTTAAAATCTGATTGGTTTTCTCAAGTGTACTGTTAGCCAACTGCAGCTAGGCGTCGGATAACCCTTGACCCTAGGATCTTGGACACATATGAATCAAAACTAATTCCCATATGCCTATCACAACAGAATTTCTCTCCCTTCTTATACACGGTGATGATCAGAGAAGTAGACCAATCTGACTGCACTACTTCTGATTCTCATACACTACGCAATACCTAGCATTCTATTCAGCAATTTCCCACCTCCATTCTTGAAAACTTCAGGTTGCTTGATGTCAGGTCCTTTCGCTTTGATTGTTTCAGGTTCGATGCATCTATGTCAACTTCAAGGAGAGTTGTAGGTCCGACATCTACGTGCCATTCAGGTTCAGGTTGCATGCTGTGCAACTGAAGCGTGGCTCGTGAGCTACTTGAACTGCGCTTCAAAGTGCTCTGTCCAACGTTCTAGCCATCTGTCCAGCGAGATTAGTAGAGTCCCATCCTTTTCAGCGGTGGTTTCATCCACCACCGTCTTCTAACCGATATCCCTATTAAACATGAATAATTACCGGGTATTAGCCAAAACTGATGCCTTGGTTTGAAGTTGGCAGACGCCATGTGAGACAGTGTCTCTTCTTATATCTGAAGTTATTGCTGGTCAGAAACAAGTGATTGTCAGACCAGAATTACAACAGACGATCATCGTTGTCAGTTCGTTGGCATGTGATTCCGTAAACACCCAGATGCCTCTCCGAATGGCTCAACTTTCCTAATTCAGCGTTAAAGTCACCTACCACTATGACTACACTTGAACGGTTTGCTTTTTGTAGCAAAGTTGGCAGTTTTTCATACAATTCATTCTTTGTGTCATCCGAACAGCAGTTGGTGTGTTCACAGATGGACATTATGAATAGGTGTTGCCTAGTTTCACGATATTTCCCAATCATTACCTATCCACTCAGTCGAACAGCACATAGACGGTTGTTAACCGGAATCTAGTCGAGAAGTGCACTTTCTGTTCTATAACTCAATGTTATACCCACACCAGACAGTCCAGGAGAGCTAGCCAGCGTTTCCGGACACTCATGAGGTGAATTTTGAACACTCACTACTATGGTCAGGTCAGGTTAATTTAATAACCACACACTCAAGTCCTGTATATGTATACGCGTGTGTCTCAGAGACACGGCATACATTCATAGCTGGAGATCTCAAAGTTTTGGCGAGGGATGCTTGCAGTTCGATTTGGCATAGAGTCCAGACGTTGAAAGTGGGACGTTAGGTTGAAGTCTAATAGGTAAAAATAATAGGGTCAGAGTTGAGGAGGATAGGTTGTGCTGGTTCGGTCTTGTGTTCTGTTGGAATTCATTCGTTGATTTGCAGAGATAAGAGGAGTCGGTTGATACATTTGGAATCTTAGCCTATTAAGATGGCTAGGACAACTGTTCGGCATTCCTATTCATCGTCTACTTTGTTGCGCAATATTAGTCGAGATAGGTTGATGCTGGAAAAGTATTCGAGTTTGTTGAACTAATACGTGGTATCACTGCATGGAGTTCTTGACTGTTGGTCTGCTGTATTTAGTGGGATGTAGGCCTCCCTGTTGCGATCGCCGGTAATACCGGAAAGCAGATATTGTATACTGTAGATGATGTGGCTCCTAGTCGACGTCAGTGGCGCAGATGTATCCACATATTATATTCTCTACCACAGTAACTAGCATTGCATTTTGCCTGTCTTTTTTTCCATTCTTCTACTTTTGTCAGATTGTTCTTTACTTCATATTTCATCTTACTACTTTCTTGCTTGATGTTCTTATTTGCTGTGTGGCAGCCATTGTTTTCAATAACGTCTTCAGGCTGTACAGTTATAAATACATTAGAATAAGAGAAATACAATAGTCAAAGTAAGACAATGTAAAATTATTTCAATATCGAAGCGGTCAGTGTTATGGGTGACTGGAGATTAGTTAAGCTTCTCTTGCGGAGCTGGTGATGTAGGCTAGAAGGAGCGCAATCCTTGTACAGACATCTCTGAGCACCATTCTGCTTTGCTGTTCACAGGAAAAGCTAGTTAGGCAACGGTTACATCTCGAGCCGTTCGGTCGACTCTGGTCTTGCCGCTTCCGCACAGGCTTCCAAAATCCTATACAAATTCAAGTCAAACAGCTCAAAGGGAGTGCGGATTCACTCCTTATGTATGGGAGTGGCGTTGGCAATCTAATACTTAAAGCCTAAGTCCTGTATAGAGAAGAGGTACTTCCGTTCTCCTTATTTGCCGTAGTCATAAGCCTTCGACTTTCATCACTCCAATATTCACCTGACTTATGTATGCTGCCTATCGTTATTGTTCACTTCCCTATGTCTATGCTTATTTGTTCCGAGATCCTACTAAAATTCTCATGGCATTTGACCCCAGTTACTAGTTAGTTGTGAGTATTATTAGTTCTTAAGTCATTAGTTATGCACTTATGCACTCATGCACATTATTGATCCAGTTGGTTTGCTATTAGTGCGCGCATATATATATATATATATATATATATATATATATATATATATATATATATATATATTCTGTCTTTCCTGTTTTATCGTAATCCTCTTTCTATTTTTATTTTACGCTTCTAGCCTGATCTCAGCCTTTCTCTTTTTCAAGATGGCAATCTTCAGCTTTCTGATAGCCTCTGTTTAACTGATGATGATGCACTTGATATAGCCACCAACTGTACGAATTCCACAAGCATATGCTTAGATATGCAAGCCAAAGAGAATATTGATGAATGTGGTTCCGATTTATCTCATCACTTTCACAATCTTTCTATGATCGGTCCTTCGCGTACTAATCAAATCTGGGCTATTGGTGCAGAACGACGAATCAGTACAACGCCAGCAAGTGATATAGCGGGCGGAAGTAATGGCAGTTCCGGACTTCTTTCATGTTTCGGAGAATCACATTGTAGTTTTGGTTCCGGTAATTTCAGCGCTCTGAGTACTAATACAACGGAATAAGTTACAACAGCGGTACTAGTGGAGATGGTCATTCGTTTGTTGGCAGTGGAGGCATTGGGGAGATAACCCCCCTACCTGGACAGATAGCACACATTAACTCTCCCTCAAATGGAGGTTCAGTTTCTGGGAGATTAGACAATAATCAAAGCTCTCAAGAAAATAATAGTGTTGCACCGTTCGATTTACTATCGATTTGGGAACCTCGTCAAAATAACTCTCATGTTTGGTTGCCTGACCTTACGCAAGATCCAACGGCAGCGAATGCATCTGCAGCCAACTGCTCTGCTACAGGAAATGATGCACCTGAAGAACAGGGAAATCACAATCATTTGGGTCTAGGGATCGACAACGGAACTGAAAATGAAGTACTACCTTGGAATTGGGATGCAGCTTGCGGTTTGGCGGTTAGTTCTCTAAAAAGTTTCATATTTTTTCGTACACTTTCACTTCACGAGAAAGTTCCCCTATTTTGTTTGCTTATATCTTTCACGGGATTGTAAGTACGTACTGTCTTGACATCCCAGATCAGGACGAAACAGCTGTTCATTGCTCTCAAGTTTGCAGCAATTCCCCGTCCAACTTCAACGAGTGAGGAAATTTCTTTTGAACTAATTGGCTACAGTTTTCTTAGCTTCCATTGTACTTCCCAGATGTGAAGTTAATTATTGAGCGTTAGGAAGTGACAGTGGTGAGTAGTCTGTATGTGAACCACGCAACCAGGAAACAAAGTTGCTGTATTCTTGTGCGAGAAATATCAGCTGCATTTACCATCATCACCTCTAATCGCTAGGATGTTGTCACTGCTCTAATCGATCTATCTTAACTGATTTACCAACTAATTTCAGTTTTTATTTGTTCATAAGTCTGTGATACTTATCGAAATTCCTAAATTACTTGTTAACTTGTTAAAAATTGTAAAGTGGTATTCTTGTCACGATTAGTTGAAGATTCTCTGTAACATCAAGAAAGAAATTTTTCTGTCTCTACATATTGCAAGAGTGCAGTACTGTCTGTCAGTTTTCTGTTAGCTTGTCCAAAATAAGCAGATAGGTTTTCGAAGTAAACACTACAAGGCTTATAGGGAAATTGTCAAACTGATTCTGGATAGAACAAAAGACGTTTCGCGAAGAGCTACTCTTTTCGGCGAAATCATTCTCAAGCTGTACAATCGCATGCATATATATATATATATATATATATATATATATATATATATATATATATATATAAAAATTCACATTGTAACAGAGAAGTATTTCAGGTATGATTAAAAATCAGATTACAAAAGAAAAATTACGTAATTTTCAGGTTAATGATTCTGGATAGTTAAAATAACCAAGCAACCCTATTTTTGATTGAATCATAAGTTTCTGTTTTTTAAATGTTTTGAAATGGATAGTTCAACAGTATACCGATGCGATAGTTAAGAATTCTTATATTTGTTAAACTTTACTATGCTTATGTTAGCTTTCCGCCAATACTGATCACTGAGTTATATTATTGTTTCAGTAGCATGTTTCTGAATCCCGTTCATACAACACAATGGATTGAATAAAGAATTGCAAGTTTTTCTTCAGTTGCATATTAGATAGTAGTAGTGCTCCCGTATCATTAACGTGGAAATCAGGTTTAGAGTTCTGGGCAGACGAGCAAGGTCACTTGATGAGGTTGTGAACCTTCATCGATCCAGCTGACTGGGACATGTGTTAGCATTTCTAGTCTAGGTCTGCCTTGTTCCGTAATGTTTTTTTAAGTAGGTTCAGGCAGAAAAAAGGTTAGATGTAGCCAAACTGGCGCATACATCATCGCATGAAGTCTTTGACTCTTGGTCTGAACTGTTTGGGTAGTGTAGACTTCTCACTTGCAGTCAGGGTGACAATAGAAACCATGGTTGGAGACCGTAGATGATGTGGGTCTTAATCGATATGAGTGGCACACACATTATCTTCATCTTAATCATTGTACTCAATCCCATTACTCTCATTTCTTGTTCTCTTCTCATGGATTTCTTTGTTTGTAACTGTTTTCTTCCTAGTTTCTCTATCTTTCACCATGGTGCATTTTTGCTTCATGTGCCGATATTATGTATGGCAACTTAAAGTCTTACATAGTAATGCCATGTTTCATGTTTACCGTAACTAACTCATATCAAATAATGACAAACTTTGTGATACTGCTATTCTCATTTTAGAATACAACTTCTTGGCGTGATTTGTTTCGGGAATGCAAAGACTCTGAATCGTCCACCTTGCCATTTAACCCTTCAGATACGGATGATATGAACCACTCAGGTGGACCGGATTTTGTAGCTCATGCACCTTCTTCAGGTCTGTGGTCATCTATGCACAATGTTGCATCATCTATATCGAATTCCACGTCATCTCCTTTAAACGCGCAACCTGCTATGCTTTTTGGATCAACATTGGGTCTTACTCCAGCATCAAATGAACTTGACACCCTACACTCATCTCATCAGTCCGATTCTTTTAATAATCCCAATATGTCTAGATCAAATGCATCTTTGTTCGCACAATCAAATTCTGCCCTGACAAACTCTCGTACGCTTGCTTTTCGTGGCTCATCAGCATCCAATTTAGATATAAATTCTGTATCAGATAACACTGTCACAAACTTATATACATCATTGCCTTCAAATGCAATTATGGCAGATGCACTACTTGCCTTTCCATCTCTTTTTCTTTTTGGTCAGTCAACTGAATCTGAAAGTTCGGGACTTATGACGCACCAAGCGAATCTGAGCTCTTTACCTGCATCATCAACACCTCTTCAAATCCCTGTTTCGTTTGTTGGCTGTCAAGCCTCTGCTTTCGGCCCACCGTTTCAAGTATGTGCTGTGTATATTGATTTTATTTGGTTTCGTATCCGCGACGCTTCATTCGATTTTGTCTGTAGGATGAATCTTTTAGTTTTATAGACAAACCAACTTGTTGTCCGATTTTCATGCAAAAGGCGGAGATGGTTGTTTAAGATGATAAACTTTCGTCACCTCATTTGGATTTGGAATACCTTTATCATGTGTTACCATTGGAGTTATCGTTTAGGAAATAACCATTTAGTGATAAGATAAAAGCTTCTAATAGCAGTGAGCCCTTGGATGAGATCGTAGAGATCGCAAGACTAATATATAAAAAGATTTTTGTTTGACAAAGCGATATAAAGTTATCATGGTACTAGCATATTATTATTCTTAAAGTTAAGGTGTATGAGAATATGAAGATTTTGGAAGATCATAAATCACCTGCCGTTTTCGTTACTTTCGTAATTATGCCTGAAGAGACTGTAACGCTTAAGCCCAAAATAAGGTGGTTGCCTAATAGACTGTCGGTTTGAGCTCCTCGTTACAATAAAAATCAATGGTTGATGACTTACGGTATGGTCAAGATCGTGCAGATGCATTTACTCTTTGACGTCTTCCAACACTTGAATTCTTTCACTAACCTTTCAAATCCTCTTTCCTCCCACGTACATTTATTTGCTTTTTTATCACTCTTTCTCTATCGATTTATTCTTTGCATACAGCTGTGAAGCGCAGCAATCTACACCGACGGACCTGCGTGCAATGTTCTGCGTTGATTTCGTCTGTCTGTCTATATGAGATTAGGCAAAAATGTTGACATGGATTCGTAGAACTTGCAAGCGGTTTCATCATTTCTTTTAGGATATTTGCTTTCTGCCTAATTCTTCATTATATCAAGTACTTGAATAAAGTAAAAAATCCGTGAAATTTATATATCTTTTTGAGTTTACATCAGACTCATCACCCTTACTTAACTATCGTGCTACACATTTTTATGATTTATATGTTCACTGATGGGAAGAGAATTGTGGTATCATGTTCAAAGCAATATTTTTTCATTAGCTGGTTACTGATGAACCACAGTGTTTTCTAAGAGATTTTAATACGAGTTAGATTTCCGTAGTACTACTGTTTCACAACACTTGGGCAACCGGGTAAGATCATCAGCCTTCACACAATAACATTGCCTCATTCCCAACTACTCGAATTTGCTTTCAACAGACCTAGTTAGACATAACCTATCCCCGTCTACTCTGTCCCTGTTGCCTTCACCTCTTGATACTTATAGTAAGCCTCTAATTTCTTACTCAACCTCTCTTCCTGCAACCACTGCCAACGGCCAAAGCCATCAAAACCTCATTCCTTGCCTCCCAAGAATCCACCATCGAAGCTTTCAAAGTTCGAACTCTGCGTCTTTGAAATAGTGGGGAATATTTGTAGCTCAGGTGGGTTGTCTTAGTTGTATCGTGCTCTCTGAGCTGGGTTGAATACTCGTGAGGCTTTCGTCGTCTTTCTAGACGACATCAGCACTAACTTCAGTATGAAGTCGTCTAAAAAGACGATGAAAACTTCACCATTAAACAACCCAGCTCAGAGAACACAACGCAACCAAGAACTCTATGCCAAATCGAACTGCAAGCATCCCTCGCCAAAACTTTGAGATCTCCAGCTATGAATGTATGCCGTGTCTCTGAGACACACGCGTATACATATACAGGACTTGAGTGTGTGGTTATTAAATTAACCTGACCTGACCATAGTAGTGAGTGTTCAAAATTCACCTCATGAGTGTCCGGAAACGCTGGCTAGCTCTCCTGGACTGTCTGGTGTGGGTATAACATTGAGTTATAGAACAGAAAGTGCACTTCTCGACTAGATTCCGGTTAACAACCGTCTATGTGCTGTTCGACTGAGTGGATAGGTAATGATTGGGAAATATCGTGAAACTAGGCAACACCTATTCATAATGTCCATCTGTGAACACACCAACTGCTGTTCGGATGACACAAAGAATGAATTGTATGAAAAACTGCCAACTTTGCTACAAAAAGCAAACCGTTCAAGTGTAGTCATAGTGGTAGGTGACTTTAACGCTGAATTAGGAAAGTTGAGCCATTCGGAGAGGCATCTGGGTGTTTACGGAATCACATGCCAACGAACTGACAACGATGATCGTCTGTTGTAATTCTGGTCTGACAATCACTTGTTTCTGACCAGCAATAACTTCAGATATAAGAAGAGACACTGTCTCACATGGCGTCTGCCAACTTCAAACCAAGGCATCAGTTTTGGCTAATACCCGGTAATTATTCATGTTTAATAGGGATATCGGTTAGAAGACGGTGGTGGATGAAACCACCGCTGAAAAGGATGGGACTCTACTAATCTCGCTGGACAGATGGCTAGAACGTTGGACAGAGCACTTTGAAGCGCAGTTCAAGTAGCTCACGAGCCACGCTTCAGTTGCACAGCATGCAACCTGAACCTGAATGGCACGTAGATGTCGGACCTACAACTCTCCTTGAAGTTGACATAGATGCATCGAACCTGAAACAATCAAAGCGAAAGGACCTGACATCAAGCAACCTGAAGTTTTCAAGAATGGAGGTGGGAAATTGCTGAATAGAATGCTAGGTATTGCGTAGTGTATGAGAATCAGAAGTAGTGCAGTCAGATTGGTCTACTTCTCTGATCATCACCGTGTATAAGAAGGGAGAGAAATTCTGTTGTGATAGGCATATGGGAATTAGTTTTGATTCATATGTGTCCAAGATCCTAGGGTCAAGGGTTATCCGACGCCTAGCTGGAGTTGGCTAACAGTACACTTGAGAAAACCAATCAGATTTTAAGCAGACGAGAGTGCATGGATCATAGTTTTACCTTCCGACAGGTTTTTGAAACAGAAGCATACCTACTGGCAGCAGACACTAGCCATATTTCATAACCTCAAGGTAGCATTTGACTCTGTCGAGCGTGAGGCGTTGTCGCAGTATCCGACTGGGAAGGAAGTACCGAGCGGATATGTAATGCTTGTCGTACCTGTCTACTTGAACTCCTAGAGCCATGTACTAGCTATTGCATGCGTTCCGCATCTGTCAAATGAAGATGAGTCCCCAGGAGTGAGCTGTAGCAAGCTCTCCCAGTTCAGTGATATAGAGTGAAATGGTTGAAGGTATTGACCGTCTGGGGAGTTGCATCTACTATAACGGATGGGTGTCTGGCAAAATCTCATAGGGGACACAGAAGTTCTGGACATTTGCACTAACTGTTGGCTTCAAATGGTTTATTGTTTCATATAACTTTGTTCACTTTGATATCACTTTTAAATCCACCTGTTCTTTGTGTAGTACTGTGAAGTGTGACGACCTGAGCTAGTGCACGTATGTACAACGTTCCTCATTGGTTTTGTCAGTCAGTTGAACTTGTATGTGGTAGCTTGCAAAGTTGCATTTCATGCCATTCTTTTTCCAACCGTCTGTCATATTAAACTGACGAGAAAGGGTTGTTTGGCATTTCGCCCTTCACATTGTGATCGTCTGAACTCTTTTAAGCTAAATGATGGAAATAGAAAACCTTCTTGGAAAGCCGTCCTTGAAATTTTTTTCCGTTTTCAAATTTCATACTTTGATGGTATGCTGTTGTTAGTTTGGGATACTTTGATGTTATATAATTCGCTCGTATAATCTGGGCGTTCAACTTTCAACCAGTGAGTCATAGGTTTGATAATCCCCGCTACACCTAATGAAGTTCGGCTTAAGAGGTAGTATCATAAACGCTCAGACAAAAAATTTGACTTTAGACTTAGCACACGAAAACATATGGCTGAATTCCACTACAAATTGTTGTGCAAGAACAATGGATATGCTGCAAATTGGGTTCAATATGCCGTAAAAGTTTAGAGAAGAAACAGCTACATATTGAGCTTTTTATTATACGGAGAAAGTGCGAAAAGGGTTACGGCAATTTTTCTGTTGTTTGAGTGAACAGCTGTGGAATATTCAACAGTATTGTCTACTTTCTTTACACAGTACAACGTCAAAATGCATTTTTACCAATTTCACGTCTCACTGTTCTGTCTTTGTTACAAATAGAAGTGCATACATACATCACAAAGTTGCTTCCTTTGAAAAGAATTGTAACATCAAATTTATTATTTTTTTCTCCATACTTCAGATGAATGAAACTCACATTGGGAATGATAGCTATGCAAAGCATCCTGGTATTTTGCCACCTCCGGGTTTGTGTGCTAGTTCACCGCCATCAAGCAATTGTACAACACCAACTCTTTCTTCAATTCCAGTTGTATCGGCCACATCATCAGCTTCTCAGATAGCAGGAGGAAATTTCGAAGCGAATGCACTTTGTGAATCCAATATTGTAAATAATTCATTTCCACCTGGTTATAATATATCCACACCTCATAATGGTATATTGGATCCACAGTCAATGGCTATGGCTATGACACTTTTCATGTCACAAGGAGCTAATAACAACAATCAAATTCCGCCAGCATTTTCACAAGGTTTGAACTGATCTCTTTATTATTATTATATTTTTATGATTATTATCATTCATTTGTGCATAATTTTGGTGTTTTTTTTCCCATAGTTGAACATTGGCGTGAATAACAACTCTTGGCTAGTCAGCAGTAGATCGTGTCGAAATTATAGTTACTGAAAGTATGTCAACTTTCTTGACTTAAAATTTAAGCAATAACAGCTGTCCAAAAGCTGTGTGCTCGATTTCGCCACATAGCTGAGACTGTTGACTAACTAACACTGTTATACTGTAGTGAATCTTAATCAACTGAGATGACTTGAACGTGTACTACGTATGTTGAGCCACCGCTTACCTTGATGTGCTATGTTAGAGTCAGTTGGATTCGGTTGGAAGAGAGTTCACCATAACCAGACCAAGGTTTGGCACCAGTCGATGAAGTCTGTGACTGTTGATGTGAGCCGTGTGGGCAGATATAGATCACCTGACTGGGGCGGCGTACACGCGTTCACAGAACTCAGTGGTTGAGGACTCTTGGTGACAAGGCTGAAAATCGGTCAAAACGGAGCACATGTATTCACTTCAATTCACTCGTTTGGGAGGTTCTACTTCTATTTTGTCTGTCTATATTGAGGTGTGATTAACTCTGTTTTATGATGAAAATTACAGTATGCTATACACAACAGCAATAAATATTGGCAGAAGTGAAACGAATTTCTGTCGTTATTTAAATAGGACAAAAGTTTGTAAGAGGTGTATGAAAGTGGGTGAAGCATGCAGATATAATTGTTTTTTGAAACTCGATTATTCATTTATCCTTAACACCTAAAGCAGCTCCTACCTTTACCTTTTTGAAACGCTATTGACGATGTCCAACATGACACTGAAGTATTTATCAACAAAACTTGAGCTCTAAGAACAGCTGAACCTTAACCCCTACCTCCTGAGCTACAAATATTTTTCATTTTTATCTTTCACCCTACTTCCGGATTGCTTTCTGTAACAGTTCCAGTGCTCGTGAACTTTCGGGTTCTTTCGAGATAATGAACCTTTTTAATTATCATCGAATGCTCGAACACCATCTTACCTACTGAGGTTCGCGCAGCCAGGTAGTAGTATCAGTAGCCTTTGCACAATAGGTATGAACGGTCGCCTACTGCACGAGCGTATTCAAGGTTGTTGAGTGCGTTCTGTCATTGAATGTTTTAAACTCTCGTCGAGGTATAATCTCCCACAAAAAGATAATAAAGTAGTTTCCTGACTTGAGTAAGCTCTGACTATTGTAAAGGTATATATATATATATATATATATATATATATATATATATATATATATATATATATATAGTGTTAAAAAAACCCTAGTTGTTTTTACCCTTTTGCATTCCAGCACCTCAGTGGAATCATGTCGCATTTATGATCATGCAGCAGTTAGCAAATGGTATGACAAGCAATCCAGGTTGTATGGTTACATCTTCTGCAAATACAATGGTTGACAGTATTTCACCGGCTACTGGGAATAATATTATCGATCAGTCACACCTTGCTGCAGGAACTTTTGCTATCCTTCAAGCTCAACAACTGATGCATGCTGCACATCAACAATACCAGCAGCAGCAACAACAACAACAGCGTCATACTACTGTAATTAGCGGCAACGGTACAATGAATAATAACTCTTCAAGCTGTGCTATTGCTTCTACTATCGCTTCGCCAACATCTCTAGTTGCACCGTTCACTTCTAGTGTCACAAATCCATCTAACTATTTCGGAGGTTTGTATTCATCCGGCTCAGTTGTTCCTGGGTTAACTCCTGGAAATTTCTCAGTGCCTAATGTGAGTAACATTCTTGTGTTCTATTTTTTCTAAATGTTTTTTCACAGCCCACCTTTTCTGTTAATTTCCCCCTTCTGCACGCATATGAAGTCTCTCTCAACGCTCTTAATTGAGATATAAGTCTATTAACTTGCCTTCTTGCCTACACATGGTGTTCGTTTATCTGATAAGATTATTTCATCTTTCAGGGGATAAATTTGTTACCACCAGTTGGTCTTCTACACCCTGAAGCGAATGGAAATCCAAATTCAGTTGCCGGTGACGTACCCAGTTACAGTCGTATATCGGCTTCTCAACCCCCTGGGGGTCTTGCTGTTACTATGCATATCTCACCGACATCAACAGGACTTCCGAGACCGCCATTACCTGTCTCAACTGGATTCTCACCAGCCACTCCATACGCGTTTAATTTTGACGGCAAGTTTAAACAAAAATTCGATTGGTCATATTTTTTTCCATTTGCTATAGATAGCTTCCTGTCTAGATTTTTTAACGAATACTGGTAAAAGTGTGTACTCACAATAGCCTTTACAACTTTTGTTATTGAATTAAAAGTCAACAGTGTATTGTGATAAAATAAGTTTCATTTTAAGGCTTTTATATGTACAGAATGTACTGAAATGATGTCATGTTCTCAGTGAAGTCTCAAATACTGATATCCGATGAAACATAAGGCATTTTAACTATTCTTGACAGCCAGTTCCTATATGGCATGGTATTGTTGTGTGCTGTTAACTGTCGAATTACTTTACTTTCTATTCTTGGCTTTTGTGCAATTGAGATTGGTTGTTGCCCTTTGTCTGGATACTGGACTCTTCACTACCAGTTAGTAAGTGCAAACTTATTCTACCTACTTTTGTCTAACGATGAACTTCCTCACAATAAACACACACGAAATCTTAGACCTTACATTTATATTGGTATATTTTTGTAAATACCTAATGCTGGATGTTGATCATTCGTTTTATAGCATCTATGCATAAGAATCGTGCTTTTGCTGCCGCCTTCGCTGCTGTATCAGGTGTAGCTGTTACTGCGACACCACCGCCTGGTATGTGTCCCAACCCTAATCTTCGGCCTAATGGGGTGAACCACCCAGCTCTCTTAGGAAACAGGGCTCCAGTTCCACCGCCTCTTATGCCTGTAGTTACTGGTCGTAGTCCTGGTTTATTGCCTGCTGTACATTCTCAACCTGTCCAACAAAGTCCAAACTATGCTGCTGCTCTTCAGTCACATCAAAACATCAACCAGCGACTTCAAGCTCCATTACTTTCCCCTCTTCCTTTGACGTTACCTGGTACTGCTTCTTCAAGACCTAGTTCGGTTGTCGGTAAGTTGGATCACAAGGTAGTGCATGTAATACACCTGTTTATTTTTTCTGGTGTTGGGCTTTTTTTTAAAAGGATTTTCACTAGCTCTTCATAAAAAAATTCTCACTTTTCAATCGAGACATGTTTCTACTGTGAATATCATTTTAGGTGTAAACATAACAACATCTGCTCAGCTGGTCCCTACTACTGTGTCTAGTCGTAGTCAACTTTTGGAAGATTTTCGAAATTCTAGTGCACGCTTTCAACATATGCATCTATCAGAGCTACGTGATCATATGGTTGAATTTGCTCGTGATCAGCATGGATCTCGGTTTATACAGCAGAAACTGGAGACAGCTACCACAGCCGAGAAGAATTCTGTTTTCAATGAAATACTACCCCATTCAGGCAAATTGATGACTGACGTGTTTGGCAACTATGTGATACAAAAGTTTTTCGAGTTTGGTACTAAGGAACAAAAAGAGGTGATTTCTCATGGTTTTATTATTTTTTGTTAGGTTATCATTATACAGGGAATAAGTGACCTTGTAAAGAAATATTTTTTTACATTTTAGTGCAGCTGGCTGTGGAATGTTGTACAAAATGTTTCGATGCGCATTGCTACTCCACTCGTATGTGATCACTGTGTCTATCAGTCAGACGTTAGTAATTACATAAATACCATGATTCATTATTTTGAGGAGATCTCAGTCAATAGAAATATACGTTATTCATAGAAAGAAGTATTGACTGATGATAAAATTGGTAAAGATGTATTTCTGCGAAAGTACAGTCAATGATATGTTGCACTGCACAAGAAAGAACTAAAAACTCCCATACATAGATATCCCAAATAAGAAAGCAAAGTACAGTTAGGGTGTCAGTCGACAAGGAATAAAACGTTTAACTAGGAAAACAACCATAGAAGCGTATCACTACGCTTAAAGTCGCTATCAAACCACTAAAAAGACTAAACTCTCTCAGCAACTATGTGCATGTGCATGGTTTGCGATCCCACAAACTTTTCAATTTAGTACTGACAAATCACACCGCTAGTGTTATTCATCATCCTTAAATAGTGTACAGTTTGTCAAGTTTATTTTCATTCTTGACTGTATTTCATTTCAGCATCTCTCTCAACGTCTGCAAGGTCACGTAGTTGAGTTTGCTACTCAGATGTATGGTTGTCGTGTTATACAAAAAGCACTAGAGTCTGTACCAGCTGAGGCGAAAATACACATAGTTAGTGAACTGAGACCATATGTGACTCGATGTGTAAAAGATCAAAATGGAAATCATGTTATTCAAAAGTGTATAGAATGTGTTCCACCTTCGGAACTTGATTTTATCATTTCAGCCTTCCGTGGTCAGGTACGTTCCCTTTCTTTGTGTGATTTTTAGCTGCTGATTTTATGAGAACGTGCCGTATTTCCATATATCTTTGTTGTATAATTCCACACGACCTTAACTGTACTGTCACTTAGATCTACTTCAAAGACAATCCCTGTGTTGTAACGGAATTCCACCTGGATTTGCAACAAAAGTATCGGGATGAGCATACTCACCTTTAAGGAGGAGGTGTTTCATTTTAATGCGATCCTTTTTCGTTAGTTAGTTCATCCTATCATTTAGCATATCTTACGAAGTTTGATCAATTGTGAAGTCTGCCAGGATACTCTTCTGATATTGAAAGCGTATGCGGTTGTTCGACTCTACAAGATTAGGTTATCTTTTTTCTGATAACTTGCCGTTCATCAAGTATATTTCAGATGTCTAGAAGCTTGATTTTAACGTATCCACTCCTTTTATTCCAACTTAAATCACAACCTCACGTTTGTGATCATCTGCATACCTTATCGCATCACCTTTCTTACGACATGTAGAAGAAAATGAGTCCTCCAGACGAAACCCCGCTAAATCAAGAAACTTAAAGTAATCAAATCAAGGTAACAGTGCCAAAGAGACTAGAAAGACACTGATTAGTGATAGTACTCACCAGGTATGCTACACTTTTTTGAGGACAACCTGATTAGTGTGGTCCGTAAAAAAAACTATTTTGCTTACCAGATAGCCTAGTGCTATTCTTCTTATCAGTTGGTTTGGCTAATCGCCCAGTTTTAAGTGGTATTTAGATATCATTCAGTTTTAAAACATCGAGTTATTATACGGATGTGATGACTGATTGTAAGCGAAATTTTCAAATCATTTGGTGACGGCTTTTACTTTTTTAAAGGTCATGGTTTCTCTGAAGAGTTGCTAGGCGTTCAGTGTGTTCAGATACACATACATGTACATTTATATAGCATTTCTAATTTATTGTTATCAAATGTATATTTTATTGCACTATTCTTGCTTACATTGCGTGTAGGTCGTTTTACTTTCGTCACATCCTTATGGTTGTCGAGTTATTCAACGTATTTTAGAGCACTGTTTACCTGAACAAACACGTCCTATCCTGGATGAATTGCACAAGGGTGTGGAGCATTTGGTTAAAGATCAATACGGGAATTATGTTATTCAAGTAAAGCTTCATTATAATTCTTACACTGCTTATTGTGTTGTTGTTTACACCTTGCTAAGTCATTTCCTATTCTCAATAACCTACAAATGTTATTTAGTAGAATATGACATGTGGACAGGGTTATTCCTTGGTTGCCATATCTTCATATATCATCGACAACATTTTATGCCATTCTTCTCACTTATCCATAATTTCCATCATAACAACTAAATTCTCAGCAACCATCTATGTGTGTGTTCATGCACTAGTTAATAAGCAACGTATATTGTCTGTGAAGGCGGATAATGCTTTCTGGATGTTCAAACCATGGTGAGCGATGTGGGATTCGAACCCACGATCCACTGGTGAAAACTCGACTCCCTATACCAGTGAGCTGTACACACATATTCCGTTGTTTTTCTCTATGTTTTGTCTCGCCATTTTTTATAATTTATATCGTCCCTGCTGTAATTTTTTCGATTTGCACTGTTCTGAAAAACATTTGAACACCGATGATTGAATGTAAACATGAACTGTAGCGAATTTCGTGAGGAAACATTGCACATCGATTGTGTAATCAACATACTATACTTGCAAACATTTAACCCTGAACTACGTTAATGCGACCTGAGCAGTTAGTGTAGTCTCACAGTGGAAGAGAATATCATGCGTATACTCAATGCTTTTGTCTTTCTCCTGGATAGTAGATGTACATCACATATCTTTAGATCTGTTTTAAAAAATATTATCATTGAAAAAGTTAAGATATTGCAATCTTAAAGCAGTGGAAAAAAAGCGCCTGTATACGTTCACTCTACTTGAAGTGTTTGCGTCAGTAAATAATACTGTTCCACTTGTTGACATATCTAGGAAACAAACTAAAAAGGTTTGTGATTCACACGGAGCAAACCGGTATGTTAGATGTTCGAGCAGCACACCACACGTATTGCAGGTCAACAAATTTTCTGCTCCTCGATTCGCTTGACAGCATTGGGCTCTAGCGCTTGAAGACACTGAGAAATCTACTAATTTGTTGACCTGCAATACGTGTGGTGTGCTGCTCGAACATCTAACATCCTGGTTTGCTCCGTGTGAATCACGGACCTTTTTAGTTTGTTTCCTAGATGTCAGCAAGTGGAACAGTATTATTGACTGAGTTCAGTAGTTCTGATGCTTTTCGCTGTGTAACTGTTGAGAGGAAGTGGACACTGTATAACGAAGGTGATTTACCCGACCTCGCGTTACCTGAAGTGGCGAAAAAAGCTGATACAGTTCGACGTTTTCCTCCAGACCTATTTGTTAACTCGCAAATATCCTGAATATTTTTGCAGTATTTTGTAATATTAGCAGTCGTTTATGACTGAGGAGAATTCAATAATATGATTAGAAAAATTCATAATGAAAGATTTCGTGGAAAGTTACTAGCGTTTTTGAGCTTTGAGCAGCATTCACACCTATATTTAGCATTTCAACCACTCCTAGCGATTATCGCATTTCTATCTGGTCGTAGATATAATCTTACCAGCTTGTCAGTATTCCAAGGTCACTTTTACTCAACGTCACCGTGAAAGTTACCTGTCCAAAACTTCCTATATTTCTTTCACTTCACTCACTAGCTCCTAACTATTCAGTCAAATATTTTTTTTCATTGTTAGCACACTAGTCTATTCTCACTGATCACTTGTCACCTCACTGCATGCTAAGGTTGTTTTTAGTTCTATTTATATTCTGTGTCTTAACTCAGTCGAACACCGCCTAGTAACTTATATGTCTTATGTATGCTCTGAATTCAAGTTGGTTATCAGCGAAATTATGTCATTTCTGTGTTTCTTAAATCTTTGATTCACTTGTTCCTAACGTATTTTCTGTCTAATTTACACTTAATTGGTGTATAAGGCGTGTAGTAGTAATGTTATCCAGTAATTTCATTATGATATGATATGTTGCGGTCAAAATTTGTAAAACTAACAATTGTTGTGTTTTCACTCCACCTATGTGCGTTTTGTGTTTGATTAATCTTTTTATATCTAGCTAATTCACGTATCACACTTTCTACCCATTTAGCTTTATGCATTAGATCCATTCAGATTTATGTATACATACTATTATATATATGCAGTGTATGCACATTTGGAAAAAACTCTCACCGAATTCTATTGATTTCCCGTCATTCTCTCCAGTTTTATACTCTGTTTGAAGCTATCGGTAACACCTTTAAATAGTTGAACGGACTGATCATTCCGTACAATCCAATCTTGGATGAGTTTTTTGTCTGTTGTAGTTCCTCTGGTGGACAGTAAATAGTTTATAAATCCATTATTTGTGTCAGTCTTGCATTTATAGCTGTGGCTCATCGGTCCGGACGCTTGACTTTCAACCAATGTTTCACGGGTTTCGATCCCACCTCATCTACTGAGGTTTGGGTGATGTAATTATTCACCTTCATCCATTAGGTGTGACTCCATTTCCTACTGCATGCATGTGCTTGCTGAGAGAGTTTAGCTATTTATTGTCTTTATATGCTGTTCACCTACGGCCTAAGCATTATGCAAATCTGCCTTTCAGTTTATACAGTAAAGATCAATGTAATGTTTATGTATAAAACTCAGTTATATCAATCCCACCTGCTGACTACTGTTTATGGTGTGGCATGTGACCACATTCATACCGTTTAGTATATCATATTTCTATGCATGGTATTATTTGTAAGCAATAAACGATGTGTCGTAACCATGCAGCAGTTGGACTTCCTGTTACGGCAGGAAGGAGGATTTACGTGTAGCCGACAGGTTTTCCATTCTAAGCATAAATTCAAAAAATAAATGCAGTCTCGCCCTCCAAAACTGTTAGAAAACTTGTTTGTAACATTCTACACACTAAGACTAGCTACCTTGATACGAATCTTATTTTGATGGTGGCATATACACGTCTTTGATTGTTGTATCACGTTAACTGGGTCTTTCAACGTTGACTTGGTGGTTCTATATCACTTTTTAGTTTATCTTTTGTAATACAATGCCTTCTAAAGTGTTTTACCTTTGCTGACAAGGACAAGGTACAACCCTCATGAAGTATGTATCATCCATGTTAGACAGGCACCTAAACCCATCTAACGTTAAGTCTATATTCACCCTGCATTGATTCACCTATTCATTGTTAATGTTACCCGTGGCACTGATGTTTCAGCATTTGCGCTAATCCAGTCGATAAAGCGCCTTCCTACAGAGACTTTAAATTGTATGTGCTAGTGTCTGAGTAATGTTTTGGAGCATAATTCATCTTTATCCCAACTTCACGATTCCACTTTTTGTATGCGAAGTGCTGCATTTCTCGTTATGAAGATAATTCCGACTGACACTAACTACCATACAGTGTTGACTTAAAACTGATCCGTTTCTGTCTGTCGCCAAATATGATGTGTCAATGTGTTGTAAACAGAATAGCCGATTTACTGAAAACAAAGCCAATCTATCCAGAATTCTTGTAATTCTGGTAGTAATGAACTGGTTGAAAGGATGAAATAGCGACAAAGTTCCTTCCCCATCACCTTCTTCAATCGTATTTTCATCAACATAGAGCTTGAATATTACTGGGTGTAGCTTTTTAGATTTCTGTTAAAAGTTTAATATGTACTTGCTTATTTCATTGATTGTGATAGCATGTTTTGGAGCATGGTTCAAATGAAGATAAGTCACGCATTATTCAAAGTTTACGCGGTCGAGTGTGTGCCTTAAGCTCTCATAAATTTGCATCGAATGTTATGGAAAAGGCGATTGCCAATGCTGCAACATCTGAGAGAGCTCTACTAATTGAAGAAATTCTACATCCTGTCTCGAATGTTGGTATCAATGGCGGTGATGCTTCTCTGACAACCAATATCTCTTCATCCCTAGTAGATATGATGAAAGATCAATATGCAAATTATGTGGTTCAACGGATGCTTGAACTGGCTGATGCAGAACAACGTCGTGTACTGATCAATCGAATTCGACCAATGCAAAATGTTCTACGCAAATTCAATTATGGCAAGCATATAATAGCCAAATTGGAAAAGTACAGTAGTACAACTGGGAATAGTCCTGGGAAAGGTTCATCATCAAATAACAATCCATCTAGTTCAAATAGTTCTTCATCTAATCATACTTCTAAGAATAACAGTAATAATGGTAGTAGTAGTGGTAATAGTAGTAGTAATAATACTGGCGCCGCAACCAAGTCAGGATCGAATTCCGAGGGTAATGGTGTAACAGGACAACAGAATGATACTTCTAATACAACGCATAAATCGAATGAAAAGTCCAACCATCGTGCATAATTTCGCATATATATATATATATATATATATATATATATATATATATATATGCATTCATCAACTATTACAAGTAACTAAATCTGATTTGGAACAGTGGTCTATCTACCACTTACTGTCTATACTCGAAATATTAACACTAATTAGTTCATAGTTTGCTTCTTTATCTTACAAACGTTTTGCGTTTTCTAATTTGCATTGTTTAGTTACAGTCAGTCGTTAGACTTTCATAGGATGTACACCAGCTTTATTGCTTCGTTGTCTATTTGTAAAAAATTTACCATTCGGTCATTTCATGTATGTATTTCTGGGGGTTTCCCCCCCCCACACACACACACACACACACACTTTAAAGTATATATATCTGCCTCGTTTCTCTTCTTTTTTCCACCCAACACCTTGTACCCCTTGTTCAGGCAGTTGAGGCTTGGTTAACTTCACCCTTCTGTTTCTGTAAATGTCTCGACGCTTACATTCAATAGATGTATGTATTTGCTTCATTGTGATATATATACATGAACAGTTCGTTGCCTGTGCGCTCGACATTAGGCTTTGTATCAGTGCCAATACATGCATGCGTGCTTTTATATATATACAGAGATAAAGCCACTTTGTACCTAATTGTGTTTCCTGTTAAAGAAGCTAGTTCTCTCTATCCTTCTCCAACCTCATTTAACTCTTGTTGTTACTTTGTTTACGTAGATAGTATTAATAATAATTATTAATACTTATGGTTCGATTTATCCATCGTGACGGGCTTATGTACAGTACTCAATCTGAAGAAGGTGGATAGCCCTGCCCATGTTTCGTTTCGCATTGTGATTGTCTGTTGTATGGTTTTTCTTACGTTGTTACATGTTTATATGCAAATGAATGTTGAGATTGTGTTTCATATAAACCATTTTATTTTGTTCATTTTCTTTCTTTTTATCCCATATTTCACTCTAATCTGATGTTTTTGCATTGATGATTAGCACATTCATATACCTAATACCCTCACATTATCATTAATATAATTGCTTATTCAGACTGTACACTTCTCCATCATCTGTTGTTCATATTGTTCCGTTCAAAAAATCTAGCCTCATTTATCGCATATTATACCAAAGTTCTCTGTAGTGTTTATTTTGCTGTCTTGTAAAAAATTTAATTTACTTACAAATATACTGTTCTGCACATTACTGTTAATCACTTGTCCCTTTCACATTGTACCTGTATCTTACCGACCAAGGTCGTTATTTGTTGTGTATACATTCTTAATTATTTTGCCTGTTATGATGATGTGTGTATATTGTGCTTGCTTCTTGTATTATTCAGTATTGTCAAATTTAATTTCAAGTTACATCATCACTATCAACAACAAAACTACACATTCTTATTCCCCTTATAACAATAAAGTTTAGCGTGATCTCTATCTCTTCTCCACTGCCTACATTACGTTTTTCTCCAGCTTACAATTACAGTTTGCTTATACTGTTTATTTTCTGAAAATCCCCTTTTTTGTTGTTTGTTCATTGTTAGGTTGATGTGTAAAGACTATTCTGTGCAAGTTTTGGTCTGTTTAATATTATTATTATCATTATTGACATTCAACTTCTTGATAATTATACTTATCCCTACTATCACAATTAGTGTTTAGTTCTACGTCTTCTTGTATCTAGCATTGCTGCTATTATGTTGTTATTACTAATATTACTATCATAGTTTCTCTCTTAATGATTCTACAGTTTCCACTGTTAATCTACCATTGTTCTCTATGCTTTCTTATTGCATATATTCGATTTTTCACGGTGATCACTATTCTTGTAGGTACTTGATTCTGTTGGGTGATATACTATTCTCTAAGATAGATAAACATACACACGTGTATACTATCTTAATGTGAGATGTCTTGCCATCTGTCTGTCTATCAATCCCGTTCGGATCGCATTCACATGGGACTTGTAAATTTTCTCCTGTACTCATATTAATTATACTACAAAATGTTATCATACAAGTTGGTTATGTGTTCATTCTGTTGTCTTCTTCATTTCATTCGTAAGTTATTTGATTTTATACACTCATGTAGTTGCAGTGCGATTCTTCAGTTAGTGCTTGAGCATTCTACTATTCAAGTAAGTGTCGTTGACTTAGATGTTTTCATTCTGTTTCAGTTTTTAACAAGAAGCAAGTGTTCAGGTTCAAAAATATCTTGATACAGCAATCGCTTAGTTCATCGAACTTCGTATCATCCGGATATCATTTCAATGATCATACTGTGACTTTGCACTTACTAAATCTCGTTTCTTGTAATTCATAATCCTCATTGAGATATGATGCAAAACTCCCAACCAAAAAGACCCTTTTTGCGACAACTTCGTATTTCTCAAAGATTGGCGTCTGCCACCTCCAACCACTATCACTACACTTAAGATATTAGGCCATCAATCAATATTGACAACGGACAAAACTCATGAACTAGGTGACAATCCACCTTTACACATGGAGGGTTGGGAAGGCTACCTCGTTAAAACCCGTATCCCACTGCCTTGACCAATGAATCACACCTGCTTCATTCCTGGCACTCGTCTTATATACATTACACCATTAAGATGATTCTCAGAATTTAACACTATTCTTACGCACCTTACAACTTAACGCCATCACTGCACACACGACTTGGTTACCAATCCGCAACCTATATAGTTCTCAGCACTTCCCACTCATGAAAAACTATGAATGATCCATTAAAACATGGCCACGAAGTAGAACGAAAAAAAATCTACTACATTTTCCAATCAGGGGATGCAAACAAACCCGCAGAAAACCCTCATTAACATACTTCCCATCGTTCACTCACATCGCATCCACCATGAAGCCGCAAATTAATTTTCAACTCCACCCAAATTCCATCCACCAGAATCACCACAATTTCCAACAGCCAATTCGCGAACCGAAGCGCCTCCCCTAAATTAACACCCTAAAATTCATATCCCCATTCCTTCCTATTCAACTTTATGATAGACGAAGTTATGCAGATTTCTCCCTCTGGTCGTCTTAGTCTATTTACAGGGATTGTTGTTGCCATAGGAGAATGCTTAGTAGGTGTAGATTGGTATGCGGATGTTGATGATGATGAGATGCAGTCTTGTGGACAGGTTAATTGTCGGTCTGAGAATGTTTAGGATGCGTTTCTCGTCAGAGGAATGTGGATTGTTACTGCATGAGACTGGCATGTCTGTGGTGTGTTGTTATTTGACGATGGGGATTGAGTGAAGCGGTTGACTGTGTTGACCATCACTTGAGTAAGTCGTGGAGTGGGATCAGGCCTGTTGAGTGATTGACTGCTGAAATCTCTGCATGAATACAAAAGGCTAGTTTGTGTTTCTCCGACTAACGGGGTTTATGGCGGGGCTGTGATATCCGATTGCCTAGTAAGGGTTGAGTGTACTGCACTGCAGTTGGTTCGCCCTGTTCTACTACATGGCTGTGAAATATGAGGATTACGGTGGAGGACGTGAGGTGGCTCTTCAGGTGTTCGACCGCCGTAGCCTTCGTAGCATGTGCCGTGTGTGTGTGTGTGTGTTTGGTGGTGTTAGTACGTGGCTAATGTGGGAGTCAGACGTAGAGTTGTAGGGAGGAGAGGAGAGTCAGTCGTTGAGGTTGTGAACCTTCATCGACTCAGGTGACTGAGACATGTGTTGCACCGTGTGTGACCGGCCTCATTCAGGTGTCTCTTGATCTTTGTATTCACACACCACGATTACTAACCCTTCTTTTTCAGGTACCTGAGGGAGAAATAGCCAGCTTTCCACGGTGTGGGCAGCCGGGAAACGTCAGCCACCCTCACAACTGTGTCGGCACTCCACGAGTCTCCTGAAAGCATGATCAACCTTCCTTATGGTTACCTTGTAACCTTTGCCCACATCTGTTGGTCAATGTTCCTACGTCATCTTCAATTTGTTCCAGGTGTGCATCTCTTGATGACGATCGCAGTTGACGGAACAGCATTCGTGGTGTCGTGAAACCGTGCTGCAAACTACAGACTGGAGCTTTCAATGCGTGCACCCTCCATCAGTTCGGTCAACAAGGTTTTGTAGAAGGTGTCAGTGGATTTTAGCAGCTTTTTCTGAATGGATGGATGCACGTGAACTCATTCCATCATACTCCGAGCACAATGAGGAGTGGAAGTCACGCAAATGTAGATTGACAAGAGGTCTGTGCGATGACAACGAATAGTGGTGAGCAGCGAAGTCTGAGGAAGGAGAAGAGAATGGCAACGGCGATGGTAACAGTAGACGGCTATTTAGACTTGTCGAGAAGACTGTTGCGAAAGGTCAATGGTTGATGAGACTATAGCGGAGAAGGATGGGTGGGCGATTGACTAGCAGGAGAGACGACTTGAACGATGTTGGGAACACTCTGAGGAACAGTTCAACTGGCCTCCAGCTACTGTTCTGTTGCCCACCATGCAGTTGGTTTGTAAATGGGAGATTGAGGCAGGAACTCCAACAGTTGGAGAATTCGATAAGCTGTAAATCACCTGAAACGAGTAAGGAGAGCAGGGCCAGACGGACTAGTCCAGGAGGTATTTAAGGTTGGTGGTGGAGGCTTATTGGTCCGGTTAACTGAAGTGTTAGCTAACGTATGGGAATCTGATATGATCCCGTGTGGTGAGTGTCGATCACTGATTGTCGTAGTCTTCAAGATGGGGTAGAACTCCCCTTGTGATAATCACGGGGAATCAGTCTGACGAGGTTTTTGTCTAAGATCCTAGGTTCTGTAATTATCCGAGTTGTATGTGTAGCTGGAGAAGAGCGAAGCCGAGAAAGGCAGGCAGGTTTGAGACGCGATGGTGAGTGTATCGACCAGATGATATTCGTGCTCCACCAGATTCTGGAACACAGGCAGGCTTATCGACGTCTGAGACTAGGAGTATTTCTCGACCGGAAGATGGAGTTTGACTGCGTCAACCGAGAGGTCTTGTGGTAATGTCTGTCACTGAAAGGGATGTTGGTTGAGTG